TGGGCCATCAGTCTGCTGGATGGCTTACAAACATCTGCATATCTAGTTGTCATTCTCAGTGCTGCATGTTGGGTTTTTTGCAAACACTGAGGGTTGGTTAATGGTTTTGATTTGGCTTGGGATGTTCTGGTTTTGTTGTTTGAACCTGAGGAGTTAACTTTTTTTTTTCCTTATTACAAACTTTAATCTGAGGGGCTTACCCATGTGGCATTTAGCACAAGTAGTGGAAATAAAATTCATAGTAGTCTTTTGGGGAGCCTCATGGAAAAGAGAGGGAGAACAAAGGTTCTGAGGTATCTGCTCCTTAATCTGGTGTCTGGCCAATATGAAAGGCAAGATACTAAGAAAAAGACATTTTTCATAGAGAAATATTTAAAGCTGTCATTGGAAGGGGACGCTTCTTTAGAGGGTGCAGCATTTGAGTTTAACTGGTGCATTTTCTGCTCCTTAAAGTTACTGTCATGGGATGTTGGGAAAATAAACCCCCAGAAACTGCCAAGTCTGAAAGGGAGCGTGAGCCTGCAAGCTGGGACATCGAAACCAGATGAAAATCCCACCATTAACCTGCAGTTTAAAATTCAGCAGCTGGCTATATCTGGTAAGTGACTTTGAGGTAAAGAAGTGGAATGTTCTCTGCTGTGCCAGTGCTCATTCTGTATGTAGCTGAAGTAACTTCACAAACCTTCATGCTCTGAAGTACATTCTACCTGAAACACCTTCTTCAAGCAAAAAAGCTGTCTGCTTTGACTACATATCTATGGATTTGTTCTTGCTGGTGGTCTGTGAAACAATTTGCCTGCATTTCCTTGCATTTTGTGCTTACAGACCTATGAAGAAATTTAGGGTATGGATGTGTTTGTAAAGAATGATTCTAACAATTAGCAGTTGTCAGCTTTTCTCAGTTCTGTCTGCTGCTTGCTAAAACTTTCCCTGTGCTTTCTGCACCACTAGTATGATCTTCTGTCCCTTTATGCCAAAGGCCTGTTAGCTTTGTGGCAGCAGTCAGTCTTATGCTGTGTTTGTTTGCCTCTAGGACTGAAGGTGAATCGCCTGGACATGTATGGGGAGAAGTACAAGCCATTCAAGGGGATAAAATACATGACTAAGGCTGGCAAGTTCCAAGTCCGAACCTAGAGGCTCCTGATAGTGAGGAAGAGCACTTTTCCTGTTCCCCCTGTTCCTTGGCTGATGGATCCCATCCATCTGTTTAGGGTTGCTTTCTTGTCTGTAGTAGCATAAGCAGGAAAGCCAGTGCTCAGAGTGCTGGAAAACAGGGAAAAGTAAGGTTGACCTGATACCACCTCATCTCTACTTGAGTCTGAAGTATTTGGAACAATAGCAGATGGGAGAGTTGCTCAGGTCCCTTACGATTAGTGAGTCAGCTATGTAAGCTTGTATCACCATCATTTTGCTGTCTTAGAGGAAATTCTAGGGATTTATGGCCTTTTGTAGCTCCTCTTCATGTATTTTGTTTGTTTTTTATCCCTTTTTAGATGTACTAAGTTGAATTTCCACAAATTTCAGTATGACGATCCAGCAGCTGCCTTCTTGGATCATTGGCTGTTAGGGTAGAAAACATCTATGTAGTTGTGAAGAACTGTGTAGTTCTTTCCAGCAGGGAGAATACCTGGCTGTTCTGCTTCAAAAGGTCTGGAAGAAGTGGAAGGGTAGATTGTTCCACCCAGGATGGGAAGTTGAGAAGCCTGAGATTGGGAATGTTGCCACAAAGGGAGGAAGTACATTGTTTCTCTAGATATTTCATAAGGCATCCTGGTCATCAAGGATCTTGAGTCTGAATACAAACTTAAAATACATTCAGATCTTGTAACTGATGGGCAGTGGTATCTCCATGTAATTCTGCTTCTCTTATTTCATCAGTGTTTGAAGGTAGAAATTGTCCTAGGTTATTTGGGGAATCAGAAGAGACAGACAGAGGAACTTTGGTGGAGAGAGCATTGATGGAATTAGAAGCTGTGGCTACGTGAAGATAACCACTGTCCTAGTAACCTGTTGGAACCTCTTTTTGCCTCTCCTTTCCTATTGCAAATGAAGGTGATACTGCTGTTTTCCTGCTCATTGATGTCTTTCTTTGAGATAATTGTGACCTGGTACTATTTTAGTGTTCCTCCTGTCCTACCTCACTTCAGTTCCTGTACCAGTCAGGTGCTGTGCAGATGATTCAAACCTACACCAGATTTTTCACTGGGATCATCTCTTCCTCAAAAACTGTTGTTATATTTGCCCATTCCATCCTGTAGTACATCCGTCTGTACAGGAAAAATAGGAAATGAGAGTCACCTGCACTGTTCATATTGTCTGTAACAGGCTCTTTGGCCACTACATGCCAATGTGTTTTCTCTTGGTAGCAGAACTTGCACCTAATCTGCTGTACATGTGACCACACACGTACAGCTGTGGGGTCCAGCATGTACAGTTCATGCTTTGTGAACAGAACAAGGTGACTCTAGACAAAGGGTAGCATTCAATCCGCCTTGCATGTGGTGGACGCTTGCAGTGGATGAGTGGCATCTTGCTTGGATTGCAAGTTCCGGTGCAGCTGAAGAATTCCGTAGCAGGTGGCATTCTGCTGAGGTGACATTACTGCTAAGCATGTTCAGTGCAAACAAAACCTTCAACAAGAGCATCAATAAAATTAATTTTTACATGTCATCTGTGTCATTTCAGAGTGGTTTTACAAGTTGAAATAAAGTTGCTATTTGAGGAGGAAGGTAAATTATGCCAATTGGATTGTGTATAATGGGTGCCTTAGGGAGATAAATGTCTTTATGCAGTTGGCATTGTATACCTGGGACTAAGTCGCTGTCTGATAAACTAAAATTAATTGCTTTCTTGGTAATTTTTCTTAGTGTTTCCCAAAAGAAGTGCTGAGCATTTCCTAGAACCTCAAGTGAAAACGCCATTAGGAATGCAGCTGAACCATTTTTGTTTACTGGGTTGGGTAGCATGCTAAGGGCATTGCTTTGATCATGAAGACAAATACCTCATCACTTTCCTGCTCCTCAAATATCGATACTGCTTTTTGGCTTTGTAGCTTTGATTTTTAAAGGGTCTTATATTTACTGCTGAAGTGATTCATGTTACTCGAGATACTGGAAGATTTCTTATACATATAAGGGCATCAGGCCCTTATGACATACCAGTCTGAGATGGCTGCAAGTTCCTATGAAAGATGAAGCAGGGCAGAAAGGAGAAATGGGGAACATCAATGACACAAATTGGACATAAGAAGGACTTCTGGGGGTAAATATGAGGTGCAGCTGTGTACTTCAGTTACAAAAGATGCTGATGTTGATTGGGGTTCTGAAATAACTTGAGTATGACATTATATCAGCTGCAAAGTCAGAGGAAAGCAAGCAGGCAGATGGCAGTTGTTATTCTTATACCTTGTCTCAAGATGGTGCTACTGTGTGCTGGAAGAGGACAAGTAGGGATGAAAACCATGTAAGTGGAAAAGTTGATGTAAAGACAGAAACGATCTCAGGGATTTTTTTATTACGGAGGGATGTAATGGGTAAAGAAACCAGAAAAAGGCAGTTGAATGCACTGAGCTAGGTGGCAGCAACTTCTGAGAAATGAAAGTTAAAGTAAGGCTGGAGAATACTAGATGCTAGCTATTGGACAAGGATTTGGTAAATCTCCCAGATTAAGGGAGAAAATGAAGGATAAAGAAGCATTTGTAAAACTTCGGGGTTGATTCTGGGCCATTCTTTTAGTCAGCTACATAGAAGATGTCTCAAAAGACAGACCAGGATGAAAGGAATGAACAAGTGCAGATGTGGCAGCTAGGGCTTATCCAGCATTCTTTGTCAACTTGGATATTTAATATAATGGTATTTTCCAAGAATTGGTAATAACTGTGAGGTAAAGCTTTTCTCTGCAGCTTACGTTTTTGTAGGTTCTATTTTTCTAAAAGAGATTGTGTCAGGTGTGGTTCAGTTACATTTTATTGGTGGCTGTTAGATCACATTGAGCTCAAATATTGTATTTAGTAGACTGAATTTCAAAACAAAAGTTGCCTTCCTGAGAACTCTAACTTGCATTAGTCTGTGAAATAGTTTAGACTGTTCTACAGGCTGCAGGTATTTGGCAGGCTTGGAATGCCAGTACAGTGAGGCACAAGAGCTCATGGAAGTGGGCCCAGGGGAAATGAAGGGAAATTAATTTGTATTTTTCTCTAGGTTAATAACAAAATAAAACTAGCAACAGCAACAAAAAAAAAAACAAAAAAAAAACAAAACACACCAAAAACCTAAACTGTGACTCTTCATTAAAAAACATATTTTCTCCTTCTACTGACTGGAATATGAAACTTGTTGCTGAAGCTAACTGGACTGTGACCACTGTTCCTCCGAGGCCATTAGAGAAGATCTCTTTGAGGTCAGTTTCTAAGCCGGTAGCTAGAAACTCACCATTTGTAAAGGTGCCATTTACAAAACAACTTTGAGAAAGTAATGGCCATCTTACCAAATCTCTTCTATACCTACTTAGATTATTTATCTGAGTAGTTGTGCTAGTGGGTTATCAGAGAGCTCCTTAAAAACTGTTAAACATTTTGAGTTTCAACAATGTGTTCAATTTCCCATATGCAACAGACTAGTTTTCTAGCTACTGATTGATGCTAAAACTAAATTCCTTATGTACCCGCAATACAATGTTTTCCTTTTGTTAAAAGGCAGTTACACCTGTTTTTGCTTTACAAAACAATGAGACAAAAGAGAAGCTCTCAGAGAGGCTTCAGTCCTAGGATGTGCATAGGTGGCATTTAGCGTCATGTGGCAGCAGCAGTGCAAGGAAGTAATGCTGATTACTGAGATTCTGGTTCATGATGACTCAGTTGTACCTGTCCTGTCTTCTGTTAAAGGACAAAGGCAGCCTTATGATACCTGATTTGGCCTTTACTTGTGGATGTAAATCTAGCTACCAATACATTCGTCCTTTGTTTTGCTCTGCTGCACAGAAGAGAGAGCTTTTGCTTCATATCCGATGATAATGCATAGAAATTTAATAATCAAAAATATGCATTGATTCTGTGGCAGATCAGGCTGCTGTTCAAATTTTTACCCATTCTATTACCAGGAACAAAACCAAATGAAAGAATAAAATGTCATAATAAGCATGCCATCCTGAATTTGCTCTGAGAGTTTGAGCTTAAACTTGGTTAATTAATTGGTTCCAAACTGCAGAAGCGAGTAGTATATTAATCTGGAAATAAGTAGCCCATGTCTACAGCTTTTGTTCTTTCTATTGAAACCAGCTTAAATTACCAAAGTGACATGGTATAAGGACAGAGCTTAAGGTATTCCAATTGTACAGCAAAGTAAGGAGGGAGGTGAAGTTTTCAGGAAATTAAATTTCCCCTTCAGTTCACACCCATTCCTAAAACAGTGCAGCTGCTAAAGGGATGCATGGTGCCCAGATGTTGTCTCTTGGTTTATTCACTCAGCCAGAATTATTTTTTTTATTGCACTTATGTGATTTGATGCAAGGTGAAAGTTTGGTGATGTTTGGGAAAAGTTTGATTAGCTTCTAATAACCTGTAATAAGGAAAGGAGAGTATTTTGAGAACATGCGCTTCCCATACATTGCAGTTTGCTTCCTTGTTGTGCTAGAAATTATAAGCATCTGGTCAAACAGGAAGCCCTGCCAGCCTGCTTAAAGCACCCAGAAGGAAGCTGTGAGGGCATGGTCACAGGATTGCAAATGGTTCATTTTTCTTTCTCAGAGTTTCATGGTGTCCTGAATCCAGTCAAGATAACGATTCACATTTGTATAAACACCAGGTATGTCTTTGCGGCCACAGCCTATTCCCCAGCTGATGATTCCAATCAGATACATACGATCATCCTTCATACAGACCAGAGGTCCTCCAGAATCGCCCTACAGAGAAATAGCAGATTAGCAACAATCTCTTCATTTGGTTTTGCATTGTTTTTCCCACCCCCATTGGCATTAGGGATGCACTAGTGTTTACAGAAATAGCCTATGTAGTATGCTCACAAAACAAGAGCATATTGCAGTCACTAAAGTGATTTTTACCCAAGTCACTTCTATGTTCCAGACTCCCTCAGTGCTCCTCTCATGGGGAGAGACACAGGAAAATGTAGCACTTAAGTGTCAAACTTTGTATGGTGCTCATTTATGAAATGCAGGTAAAATGTTGAACAAAGAGAGGAAGGCCATTATTAAAGCTCTGAAGATCCAAGGGGTTTTATACTGCTGTGTGTAACAGTAAAGCAACGTTATTAAATAGCTGTTTAAACAGAAAAGATGGGGATTCCTTTTTCCTAATGTTGTAGCTGCTTGTTCTCTGCCATCTTTTAGACTTTCTTCTTCTTTTCTCTACTTTTTAGTAGAGGGGCTCCTTCTACAGAACCTCCTGCTGAGTGTTTTGCACGCTCACATAACAGAAAATACTAGGAAATGCTTGGGTGGATTTTCCTGTTCAGTTTTTTGGTATTTCCTGTATTTGGGATTTTCAGTCTGTGTTGCTCTGGTTTGATTGCTTAAGTGTTCCCTGCCTTCCCCTCCATGAAGGGTAGAGGAAGAGAAATGAAAGAGGAGCCACCAGTTCTGTTCAGTTCATGAAAAGTCTACTAGAACTGCCATGTAGGCAAATGTATAACTTCTTTAAACTATTTTCTGAAGCTTTTTGTTTAGTTAGATCAAAGTACAGAGAAAAGAAAAGAGACAAGGAAAAGAAAAAAAAGGACAACAGAATTTGGTTTACCTTGCAGGCATCATCAAGGTTTCTTGTATCTCCTGCACATAACATATTGTCTGTAACTGTCCGGTTGTCTAGATACTGTGCTGTGCACCGACTGGCTGGGAACAATCTGACATGGCCTTCCTTCAGGTGCTCTGAATAGAATGGAGAAACTGGAAGAAAAATGACAATATAAATACATATATATATATATGTCTGTGTATGTGCATATATATATCTATTTTTTTATTATTATTATTAATTTTTTCCCAGTTTCCATAGTTTAGGGGAGAGTGAACAGAAGTAGCTCTGGCTAAACTAAAATTTCCTTGCAAAAGGGTCTTTTTGTATCTTGGGAGTTCCACTTCGATAATCAGAACAGCTTAAATCTAGTTGAGAAAGAATATTGTTTCTTCAGTATGCTAGAGAGGTTTATGTAGGCTCCAAATTAAACACTGCTGGGTTTTTTGGGTGGATAAGTCATCTTTGCATAGTTATATCAATCAAAATGAAGTAACAGGAAATGTCTATGAAAATGCCTTAACTGTATGAAACAGGATCCTAACTTTTTAATATTAGACTACCACTAACAAAAGTTAGATGCTTTGTCATACATAATACTAACCGGTACACTTACGTTAGAATGGAAGAGATTTGGTTGGTTGATTTGGATATTGGTTTTATATCTATTATATATAAATCTATATATAAATCTATATATATTTATTAGCAGTTTTATAGCTACAATTGCACAAAACTGAAAGTTGGCAGGATTGTTGTTATTCAGTAGAGTTTTGAATTACAGTTGCAGCATCTTTTCCCTCTCATAAACCAGTTTATCCTGTACTTCCTGTAAGCAATGTTGAGGACAATCTTTAAAAGCACTTCAAAAACACTTTATGCCACACTTACATGCGGTGTTTTTAGGTCTGTTCCAAAACCCATATGGGTCCAAACTGTGATTAGGTTTTGTACGATGGATGCTTAACAGTTTCTGTCTTACTAAGTTTACAAGTTAGAGAATTGAATGAAAATGGAAAAGGGAGAAAGTAAAATAAGAGCTGGGGGGAAGGGAGGGGGGGTGTTTTTTTGATTTATATATAGGTGTGCCTGTATATACTTTCAGGCAGCTTTTATTTCTGTTTGTCATAGCTCACTTTAAAAGCAATTTAACTTGCCTTTTAATGTCTATTTGGGATTTATTTTTATTTCTTCAGTTTTTTGTTTTTTGGGGTTTTTTTTTTTGCTAATTGTTACATCCCAGGAGCTGGTGAGGAAAGTTGTTAGTAAGATGCCCTAGGATGTGACCCCTGTTTCAAGAATTGTTCTTCTACACTCTTTTGGTGTTTTATGTACTCCAGTTACATCAGTTACATCATCCTAGTTATGTCATTCCTTGTCCCCACCCAAGAGTTATGTCATCCCTATTCTCCACTCCAGTTCTAGAATGTTTCCTGCTTTTCTTTTCCCTATTGGTTCCCATTCCCCATCACTCCACCCCCAAGACCCTGGTTGGCTGTTATCCCTTGGCTCCACCTTCATACTACCCCTGTGCCCTCAGTCCATTGGCCCTCAGTTCTGATGCTCCGCCCTTCACTGTCTGTGTATAACCTTAGTCCCTCCTTTGTTCTGGGTTTTTTTGTCCCTGGTTCCCTTCTGTGTGAAATCAATGAACTCCACAGGAACACCATACAAAGACCCCCCTCTCGTACTTATCCATTGACCCTCAGACAACATCACGGTGTGTGAGTGCTTGGTGCTCAGAGCTATCCCTTCCCAGCAGAGACACGAAGCTCTCGGGAAGGCGGTGGCTTCGGCAGCTCCTGCTGCGCTGCCACAGCTAATCTCTATAGCCAATGTCTCTTTTAGAATAATGCATCAATCTGCAACTGTATGGTATATCAAGCCTTGACAGAAATGGATTTCTGTCCCAATTACAGTATCTAAATGTACTGAGTACAGCAGGTTTGGCAGCCCTGATTGCAAATCTTATGTCTTTCCTACCTCATTCACTGTGCCTCTTTTTTTTTAGTTTTGTACTGTGGAGAGTATCAAGGAAGTCTCTACAACTGATAGGACTCAGATGAATAACTTAAAGCAAAACTTGGTTTTGAATAACTCCTACTTCAGCATACATTTTGTAGTGCTCATATAAGCCAATATGATACATTACACATTCAGTGATGCTAAAGGCTTGAATTTTTTGAGGGCAGAGGACTCAAGCTCTGGACATGTAGACATGTATCTTGTACTTACATTCTTCATTTTTTCCATAACCAGAGATCTCACATTCAGTCCAGTCAGGCAGCTGCAGCTCTGGCATGGGGAGGCAGGCAGCGCGGACAGTGCTTGTTTCAACAGCACAGTCTTCTGCATCTGAATTCAACTGCAACAGAGCTGAACAAGGAAAAAAGATCCCCACTTCATCAATCACAAACTTGAGCCAACCATGACCTTCAATCATAAAGTCAGGAAAGTTCTTACCAATATCATTGTTGAAATTTTCTGAGTCAAATCTCTGATGCACAGTGTACTTCTTCACTTGAAACTTCTGTTCATTTTCCTCGGGAGTTGCTCGGGATGTCCTACCCAGCACAATCTTCAGCTGATTTGTACTAAAGCTGAAGAACAAGAGAGTCCCTATTCCTGTTAACTAGAGTGGACCCTCCCCTTGAAGATGTGCCGTTGGAAGGTCTGGGGTTTTTTAATTTTAGCTCTATTACTACTTTGTTACCCAGGCAGCTTAACTTCAAAGTGACCTATTTGCCGTCATTTTTGTTCTATATGCTTACAGCCATCAGGGCAAAGCTCCTCTGCCAGCCGCTTGCTGTTCTCAAGTTTCAGATGGTTCTGCATGTGTATTGACAACTTTGTTCTTGAGGTATCTGATACTCTCCTGTGGTACCTTAATGCCATCCTGTTAGTTTGCCCAGTTAAATGCCTCTCTGTAATGTTCAACAGAATTAACTATAATCTTTAGTGCATCATTTAGTGCATTTTTACTGGGATAAAGAGGGGTTTTTCCAAGTCTTTTACCCTTCCAGTAAAGCTATACTGGATGCTTCTCTTTTCCAGACTTTTTTCCCCCAGATAGTACCGAATCCTCAACTTACCCTTCCTCAAAACAGTGAGCAGCTGACAAAACCCAGCAGGAACTGATCAGAATTCCTCCACAGAGGAAGTGCTCTCCAGGCACGCGGTGATACTTCACAAAGATGGCAGCTTGCCACGGGTGAGCTGCAATGTCTGTGTAGGAACCACCTTTAATCCTGTACTGGCGTACTCTGTGCTGCCGTAAGCCACAGGTGGCTGTGGATGAAACCCACAAATAGAATTTTTATTCAGGCACTCTTGCTTCGAGTTAGGGTTAAGAGCCTGCTAGTCACCAGTCCATGGTGAGGCAGGCTGCCACGAACTGTTCAGTATTTGACTCATCCCTGTTTCCTAGGAAACTTGTATTCTGATTTGAAAAATACAGTAAGGAAACCCTTTCCTGTCCTCCATTTCTACAATCTTCCCTTCTGGTAGAGCAAAAGGCACTTCTGTGAGAGTGGAGCTACAGAATCTCTTTCTGCTCCAAAAAGCTCTTTTTTGTTTGTTTGTTTACCTCCAGCTCTTTTTTTACTGGAAGATGCTTGAGTGTAATACAGCTTTTTTTCTCCAGATCTTATTTTAATACAGATGGCATGCAGGACAGTAATGCTTCCAAGAAAGAGAAGAACCAGGAGTGCTGGTGTCCTTACAGCAAGTAGGCACATTGCAATACTCCCATGTGAGCCGATTTCCTTTCAGGACATGGCACCAGGGCTTGCTGTCATTATCAGGATTCCTGCAGCATAGGGAAGAGAAGAGCTATTTGTATTATCAGATCTATAGAGACCTAAAGGTATCAGACTATGCCCTGAGTGTATTCTTTTTGATTTTTCTAGAGATACAGAGGGCCCTAAGGGCCCATGAAATTTGCACTTAAGGAGTCTAATCTTAGAGAAGCATAAATAGGTCAGGTGGAATAAAAATACTATTGGGAGTGAGTTTCATTGCCACCAGTAATTTTGTGTATTTCCTGTGCTTTACTAGTCCATGTAAAAGACTAGAGCCTTGCCTTAAGAGTACTACAAGACAGTTTGAGGGTTTTGTTTTTTTTTTTTAATACTATAACCAACTACATACCTGCAGAAATTGTGACTACCAAGACCCAGCCGGTAAGCATCTCTTCTCCAAGCAGTATATAGCTTGTTGACAAGGATTTGAGAATTCCACTTCAAACAGGTAGCTCCAGAACTGGTAACACTGTGGCTGCCACGGTAATCTGTGCCTCGTCCAGATCTGCAGTTGGTGTTCCTAACTTCAGTAAGAAAGCTGCACATTAAATGTTTGATGCTAACCTGTCAGTTGTTCTTAGGTGTGATTTCTGTCAAGGCATCTATATATTACCTCTATGTGTCTCATTCTCTCAGTGTCATAAATACTAAAAATCTAAATATGATATAACATGAGAGTCTCAACTTTTTAGGCTACAAAAATAGCCCAAGAGAACCCTTATATATGTAGTGAATAATGTAAATTCCAAAGTAATTTCCCTGTCCCCTGCATGTACCTTTTGAACAGGAGGGCACACTGCAGTGCTCCCAGGCATAACTTCCCCCTTTGTAGATATAGCACCAAGGTCTGGAATCCTCATCTGGGTTTCTGAAAGAGTTACAGTAGATATCATTATAAAGCTATTGTCAGTAGTGTCATGTAGGCCATCTAATTTGCTAACAGTCCTGCTCTGCAGTGAAGATGTGGACTGAACCATCAGAAGTTGCTAGAATTCCTATTTTAATTATAAAACTGTGGAGTACATTGAGGTGACGATGAGATGGCCAGTAGCTAGCAGGAGTGTTTGTGCATGCTTGTGCAGTTTAGGTCATGTACAGAAAGCACTGTATTTTTAGTTTTGATCAGGATTTGAAGTTGTAGGAAACTGAATTACAAATGGAGTTTAGGGAGGACTAAGAAGGGGCAAGGGAAAGACTGTGGGGTGAGAGATACTTGCATGATGTAGTCTGCAATAAAGATCCAATCTAGGAAGATCTGAAGTTCAGATATGTCTACAGACATTGCAATTACTGCTCACGGGCTGCACAGTATCTGCACCAGTGCCGAGTGCTCTCTGCTTGATATCAGACTACAACAAGCAGCCATTCTTTTGCTCCAGGCTCTTAGAACAGGCTGATTCCTGTGGCTCTGACCATCCAACCCTAAGTCGTCAGCCCCTCACCTGCAATAGTTGTGATTGCCCAATCCCAGCTCAGCAGCATCCGCTCTTTGGCCGCTGTACATCCAGTCCACCAAGCCATTGCTATTCCAATTTAAACATTCAGTTCCACTCTCCGTCATGTTCCAGGTACCCCTATATGTTACTCCAGTGCCTTTGTAGCATTTAACTTCAGTGTCTGAACAAAAGGGAACAAAATGTAAGGACAGCATCCCAGTTCTTTCACTGCTTATCTGTTCTTTTTAAACTTGGTTTTCAGATCTAGTCTAGTAAGTCAGTGAAAATGGCATGTCAGGCAGACAGTAAACATATATGACAGTCTTCAGTTACAAAATTCATAGTTTTATTAAGGGACACCTAGAACAACCCAGGTGTCCTTAAAGCATTAGCTTTAGAATAAAAAAAGACAACTTATTAGAGAGCTTAGCCTTCAGCAGAAGCTTCTGGGTACCTCATCCTTGTGCACTGCACAGCTAACACCGATAGCATTGTTCACATTACTTGATGTGGTATACTCACCTATTTCACACTGCTTCCCCGAGAAACCTTGGTGGCACTGGCAGATGAAGAGCTGTGGGGAGTAATATGCCTGTGAACATTGGCCCCCATTGTAGCATTTATTTCTAGTGCAGGCTGTGGAATAAGCAAAAGCCAGGAAATACTGTTAGATTTCACAGAAGCAAAAAGCTGGCAATGTATATACATCTCTCATTTTCCTGTCAGTCTCCTCTAGTCTGTTCTGTTTTTCTCTACCTACCTATTGCCATGTGCTTACATGTGCTAAGCACCTATTGCCATGTGCTTACAGCCTTTTTGTGTAGTTCTTCCATTATTTCTTCATTTCATTCTCTCCATATATTCTATTTGGCTTCCTCAGCCCCATGCCCATTCCTACTTAGTAGTGCCCAAGACAGTGTACACTGGTATTTTCATTTCTATCCTCTTCTATTCCCAGACAAATTTTCTGTGAAGTAACTCTGGCCCTGACAGTGGAGTTCTTTAGGATGACTAGATGGAAAATCTCTCACCATTTCCTTTTTTCTTTGTCACACTTACCTCTGACAGGCACAGTGTGGCAGCGACTCTGACCACTGTCGCACCTACAGTATTCTATTCTGCTCCCTGAAAGCCTCAGCCAGGTCCCCCTGGGTTGGTAAATTTCTGCAGATGAATTATCTGTGCAAATGGCTGTAATCAGAGAAAGGAAGTCCTCATTTAGAGATTCAGGGAAAAGACCTGGCTGAGCAAAATGACTCCCTTCTATTTCCAGGAGAAAAGTATCTGTGATGGGAGCATCTGTCTAATGGGTTGCCCTTCTTCCTTCTCAGACCACAACTGTCCCATCTCTCTTGCTGCTATGCTGCTGGATGTACTGTTCCCCTATTGACTGGCCTCTTTTTCTTTTTCTTCTTTTTCAAGAAAAGCAGAGGGAGGGAAAACTTTGTTGTGGATTGTATTAATGGCCTGGTATTTTGTCTTCTGAATCTCTCATCCACATAACCATGACAAAAAGCTTTCAGGCTCTGTTTCTTCAGCATCATTTGCTTTCCCCTCCCATGTTCATAATGCACGGTTGTAGTTGGCCTGGCTTACCTCTAGATCTGGCTCCACGTTTGAAACGCACGTGTAAGCCCTGTGAGTAAAGAAGGTCAATTATGTGAGTAACTGCTCTCTTAAAAAAGATGAGCGAACAAGTACTTTCAAAGAGTCAGTCCTTTTTTTGAGGTTATGTAAATCAGGGAAGCTTTGAGGAAGTGTCTGCCCTCTTGTCAGACAATGAAAAGTGCCTCTAGTACCTTAGTATGGATTCCTAAGAATTGTAAATAGTTGCCATGGATTATCAGGTGATTACTTGTCATCTGAATGACATGAACTTGGGATGTGCTGTACTCACATTGTGTGTTAAGCCATTATCTGCTCTTGGGGCATTGCAAATGCTAACTAAAGCTTTTCAGCTTTCTGCTGCTTGAAGGAGGTTCAAGCAAATAATTTCCAAGGTAAAGTCAACAAACAGTTACTTTTGCTCACTGACATGCAGTTTCCCCATAAAAGTTTGTAGATTGATTATCTTTAAGTGATATGTCTTCTGCAGCCAATTAAATGAAATATTTTGGATAAAGTTTTATGGAAGAAACCAGTTTAGAAAGGTTCTTCAATTAGGCCACAAGAGAAAGAAGGTCAAAAGAAAGAGGAAGGGTGGGATAGCAATTTTTTGAAAAAGGGAGTAAACGTTTTAGAATTGTATAACATTTACTCAAGCTGTGTGCAGTCTGAGGCTTAAAGTGAGGAGACAAGGGAACCATTGATGTGCACTTTGAAGCGAGAGTAGTGGTGAAGATGATAACCACATGAAAATGAAAGGCTGGTTACAATGGAACTCATTAATAACAGTGAAAGGTAACAGTGAACAGATACGCTGAGAATACCTGGAGAAGACTTTTTTACTTAAATGGAAACCAGCCAGGATAACACATAGCACATCCACAAAAAGAGGTAGACTACTTCGTAACATTTTTTTTCCTCTGATTTCTAGTGAGCTAAGCAGATTCTCCTTCTGCCTCACACAGACAGCTGAAGTCAATGGTAAGGAAGTGCTGCTGAAAATACAGGAAGATGGCAAGAGAATTAGCCTCATACCTGGCACTGGGCAGTCATAATTGCTCCCACCAGCACAAGAAGACATGGGAGTTTGCCTTCCATTCTGAGTGTTTTCCACGTCAGCACCAAATCTCAAATTATCTGTAGGTACAAAAAATATGATGTTGAACAAAGGAAGTGTACAGTGTGAGTGGAGTTCAAGGTGTAACTTTAAATGAAAGTTTTAAATTATGAAAATTTTTTTTATACATTTTCAACCTGTTGCTTCTCAACTGTCTGGTCTAACTGTCCTGGTCTTCCTGGGAAAACTGTCAGGCTGGACTCGTGCAGGTCCAGATATGCTGTTACTTGATAAACTTAGAAACTTGATAAGCTGAAGCACACTCTTTTATGTCTGGAGGAAACTGAAGAGTGTTTCTTGGGGAGTAAGACAGAAATAAATTCCAAGTATTTTTTCCCTAAATTGCAGGATGCCAACAGTACCATGTGTACCATTAGAAAGATGGGCTTGTCTGATGATGCAGTGTAATGGTGATTCGAATGCGCTAATTGAGATTCATATTACTGACACCTACTTAAGAAATCTCTTGCAGAGTCACAGATGTCTGCTGAAGGGTCATTTTGTGGTAACAGTGGTTTAAGAGGATTTCCATTTTTTTTGTATGACTGCTGCTTTAGGTGAGAGTGAAGGCTTATCTCTTGTGTAGAGGATGTATAGGCAAAATGACTTTGCTTGATGATAGGTGAGGACAGTACTGCTATGTCTCATATTTTTAATATTTCTACTGCTTCTCCCCAGCTAAGCTTTTAGCTTTTACTATTATCATATGCTTTCGCTAAAAAGGCAGAGTATGGCAGTTTTGTTCTGATAGTCTCATTTATTTGCTGCAGCATCTTTCTGTATGTCACTTCTTTGCAGTCACAACTATATATTATTCCCTCTAATCCCTTCAGAAGATTTACACTTCAAAGCCCTCCTCAGTCTGCCAGGAAGAGTTTCTACCTTCTCAAAACCAATTTACATAGTCTGACTCCTATATCAGTACTCTTGGAAGAGAACATTCATTGATCCCTAGTGGGAGATTGTGAAGGTATGATGTAGATGTGGTGAAACCCCCCTGCTTTGAACAAGTCCCACACCATTTTCTCTCTTCCTTTTAAAATATAATGCCTCCTATACAAACCAAGAGCTGGGAGTGAGATAAGAGTAGCAGGCACAAGATACAGGGAAGAAGATACAATTTAATTTCCAGTCTCTTGGATTACCCTGAAGTTCCAAGTATTTGAAATAATATTCAGGCACTGTTGCCCACACTATCATCTTTGTATCATCTATGTTATATGTATAAAGCTAACACAATTATTTGAGAAAACTGCTACTTCCAGGAATCATGAGTTCAGACACTGTTTATATAAAGCCAGAGAAGGCATCTGGATAACAGCTGGTGAAATTTGAGTATGATATATGAGTCATAAATTTGGATTCAAGGCTAACATGGAGAAAGACTGTGGGGTTTTTAGTAGTTTTGTTGGTTTTTATGTTTGTTTGGTTCGTTTTCTGTTTGTGTGTTTTAAAGTTTGTTTAAAGCAAAAGGCATGAACAGTCCAGTTTCTGAAGCACAACCAAGAGTACAGCAGGATAATTTAGGATGTGATTTCTCATCATTAGGCTGCAAAAAGAGGGGACTTAAGTTTCAAGACAGACTGAAAAGATTCACAAGAACATCCTCTGAGAACCTTAATTACTCCATGCTTTATTTTTGGGTCACATCTTGATGATAAAATCCTTATAATTTGGAGCATCTCTTAGTGATTTGTATTAGTCTGTAGATTTCACAGTACACTTTTTATATATTTTCAAGCTATTTTTCACGTCTTAGGAAACATTTTGCATTGTATAAAAAACCTTTTTAAAAGCTGTACAAGTTACTTCCAAATAGACATTAGCTTCAATTGAATATGAACTAAATCAGCAGCATTCCCAAAGCTGAAGTGAATAATCTGAACCACTGTCCAGTCACTTGGTTTCTGCTGTAACCCTGTGTTACAGTATCCTTACTCCCTGTGCTGTGGCCAGTTATTACAGCTATGCAGGCTTGTGTTCTGAATGCCACAGTGGCAGTGTTTTAACTTGCTAATTATTGGTATCACTGGTGATCTTTGTTGTTATCTGAAGGCCTGAAGTTCTTACAACTGTAAGAAACAAGATTCTGGTAGCTAAGATGCTTTCAAGGAAAGCTTTGTTCAGTGAAACTACTTAGATCTACTTAGATCTGAGTTGAGCTGGCTTGTTAGAATTTCTGCCTGGGAAGCACAGTAAAGAACTGTTGAGATCTTATTTCTGGGGAACCTGCTAAGATGCCCTAAAAACAAGGCAACACCAGTGAATACACACACACACATACACACACACACACACACACACACACACATATATATATATATATATTTTTTTTTTTTTTTTTTTTTTTTTGGTGGGAGGACAGGTACATAAAACCACCAGGGAACTGTAGATCATTTTCAGGCAGTACTCAGAAACATCTTTTAAACTTAAAAATGTCTTTTTTATTTTTTCTTTGCCTAGAAGTCTGACATGAGGAGTCTCTATTTAAAAAGCCACCTGCATGGCTTAATCAAGTTTATCTCATATATTCACCTGTACAAGTAGGTTCTAGCCTTACACAGCATGTGTTTATACTGCAAAATGCTGTAGATAGTCTCTCTAAAGTTGTTTTGCATCAGATGCCACATCCTAGCATGTTTAGGCTATCTTAGCTTATAAATGCTCTAGCCTTTCCCCCACTTCTCCCCTTCTCCCTGTGGGATACCTATTCTTCCTCTGAGGGCTACTGTCCCACTGTTCATGGAAAACTGGTAACAGATGTCACCATATGTTTCTTTTTGATTTTGGGAAAGGTACAACTTAGGCCAGTCAATTGAAATGTCTTGAATGATAAGCTCCATCAAATTGAAATCATATGGCTGTTTGAAAAGTATGTTTACAAGGCTCCAAGCATAAACCTGCAAGCAATGGTAGGGGTCTCATAAATAGTGTGTGCCTTCTGATCTCAGCCTATGTTTCCTTTCTGATCAAAAATATTAAACCAACAAGTCAAAGACCTAGATGTAATATTCTGACATTTTGATCCTACGCTTTCAAGTACATTAGGACATAATATGTCCTAATATGTGATATGTCCTAATATCATAATATGTGATACCCTAAATTTGTCTCTTTTTGCTGGAGCATCATCAGCAGGAACATTTAAAATCCCACATATTAACCTATTATTATTAACAGCCTTTCTAAGTAGTAATAATGTTACCATTATCTTACTAATGTGGAATAAGACCTAAGAAAACCTTCTAACTTATCAAGTGTGAACAAAAAGTCATTAATCATAGAATCATTTAGGTTGGAAAAGACCTTTAAGATCATCAAGTCTAACTGTAAAACTAATATTGCCAAATCCACCACTAAACCATGTCTGTAAGTGTGACATCTTTAGATACAAAAATTAAAAGTAGTTCTCTTTCCTCCCAATGACATAATGCATCCATTCCAAAATACATTGTTTCTGAATCTATAGCACTAATAGCTTTCTTGATGATGATAAGCTATCTTGATTTAGTTGAAGCCTTCTGGATAAAGCATTTCTGTATCCCCTTTCTGAACTGAGCAGACCAATAGCAGATTTGAACTATTTCTCTTTAAATATATAACAAGTTTTTGGGGGAAAGAGCAAAAAACACGAAAACAAAAAATAAGATGCTATAGCCTTTGAAGACATTGGAGGAAATTAATTACTCAAAGTCTTGCTTTGTTTATGGAATCATTCTCAGTATTTCCTGTGGTTTTGGCCACCTTTAAGGAGAAGCATATTTAGGGAGAACTAAAGATGACCCACCCTCTTCCTCCTCTGTGTCCCTCCGTTATCATGCTTTGGAACCTGGGGTGAAAGGCATAGTCTGATCTCCTCCAGAAGACCAGACACCTTTCACGCCAGGGAAGATTAGATAAATTCTCCTTTTGCAGCTAGTTCTCTATGTCTCCGTACCTTACCATCAAGATATTTGTCCATATCTCTTCCTTTAAGTTCTTCTGCTAATGTCCTTTGTGCAGGACACTCGTCCTTGCTTAAACGGTCAGAGCCCAAGGCTGTCAGCCCTTTCCCTGGAAAGTTCCATCTTTCTTGAAACAACGGAAAGTTAGCAGCTTTACCCACACTATGAATCTCTTCAAAAGCAGGAAGGCAATAGCTCAGTTAGTTAACTATCATGGTGCTTCAATGGGATTTATTAAATAATAATATTTAATAGTATTTAATGACAGTGCCATTGATGTCGAAAACAGGAAATACCCTTTTTGAAACAGGTGCAGAGTAGTGCCTACCTTTTTGCTTTTTCTCTTCTGTATTCTCTTGATGATTTTCTTTCCAGACCAGTCTCTGTTTGTGTTTCCTGTGTCTCTGCTCTGATCTCTCTGTCCTCCTCGTAGCGCCACTCGAGGGGGTGGAGACTCCCTGGGCCTTGGGGCGTGCTGTCTGCATCCCACCCCTTTCCGAGCATCTAGGGGATGGTCCAGGCAGGCGGATGGCGTCCGCATTGTCGGGGAGGGAGCCTGTGCGGGACGGGAGGGAAGCTGCTTGCTGGCATGCTGCTGGGTTTTAGAGACTGTTTGTTTTGTTCTTTCTCTTTTCGAGTCAGAGAGCAGATTCAGTCTTCAAAACATTTTTCCCCATTGAACACCTTACTGTTCAATGACAGACTAGTATGTGTCCCTTACAATGAACTGTCCTGTCCCATTATGCTTCTAGGAGTGTGAATGAATGCATAGCTGTGTTATTTATAACATAATTAGAAGTCTGCTGTATGTAGACTTAGTCCTAATAATGAGAAACTCCTGTTTCAAGCACAAGTGTGCTGTACTCCTAATTAAGATGTTTGGCAGAGAGGCCCTGACCTGCATGTAGAGCAAAGCATGCCCTGAACAGAGCCATAGGAGAAGAAACAGCCAGGGGAGCTTGCAAGTTAAATGAGAAAAACTTCTAATGAACTTCAGATACAAATAAGGAAAAACATGTTGAGTGCCAGAGTTAAATGTTCACTGATACTATTCATACTAGAAAATGAAGATCTACTCACCAGGATGTGGTCATGAGGTATTCAGTTATCAAAGTGTGGCAGATAAATGTGATGATCAGTTTTAGTGCTGATCTTAGGGCACTGTTATGAAAACAATCAGTAGTGCAATTGTTACAGCAATGAATGTGTCCTACCTACATGGAACTGATTCACTAGCAATCAGGCTCCTGACAGAATTTAGTGTAAGACGTAAGAACCAGTATGTGAGGGACCTCCATTTTCAGGAAGCAGTTGCATGGAGTCCTCATTTGGAAAGCATGGCAATGGTTATTTTGCATGATGGTAAAGATGAAACACTGGGTACTCTGCATATTTAGCTCTTCTCTGCATGGAGATCTATGTCAAGATTATCAAATATATTTCTCCGTGAGTCACGGTGCTGATGATAACATTACTGCCATAAATCTGATTTAAGTGTAGCTGCATTTGACTGCTTTCAAAAAGGACTTCCAGTTGTTGAGATTGAACACTGCTGAGCAAGCAGGGGCTAATTTATTTTATTTTTAAAGATAACAGCCATTTGACTTCTAGATTAAAGATGCTAACTAAAGAATGGCCATTGGGAGAGACTTCAGAAATTATTTCCTGGCTTTTCACAGCTTAAGGACAACTATAACTGTCTACAGAGTGTGATGTCATTCGTAGGGCTTAACATATTTTAGGAAAGCCAGCAATAGAAGTGTCTGCTCTCTCAAGCACCATCTACTGGCTTTTCTTTAAGTTGATCCTCGGGATAATTTCAGCAGAACGAAGTGTAAAATCATGACATCCCACAGCAGGCCCATGTTACCCTGACGAGACCCTCTGTGCCCGGTGACTTTGGCAGGTCCAGCGCAGGCTGGAGTTGTAGCTCTTGGAGTGCTCTTTCCACCCCCGTTCTGTCGTGCGTCTTTGCCGTGGCATTAAAGCACCGCACGCCAGCCAGCCCAGGAGGAAGAAGTATCCACACCCGATGTAATGCCCAGAATAGCGCTTTGACTCGGGCGGTGCGGTGGGAAACGCAAATGGTGCGTTCCGGATTGGCGAATTTTGGAGATGCTGTAGGAAGAAGACTGCAACTCTGCAATTTTACTGACACAGTCCTGGAGCTACAGCTGTGGTACAGTACACTCCTCTCATCACGACCCGATGACTCCACACGGTATCGCGGCCACGACGATGGCGACTCCCCCACTCCTCGCCGGGACG